GTTGCCTCTTGTGCACGCACGCCCCAACCAGGGGCCAGGGACCTGGGACCTAACCGGCAACTCAAGCGTGTGCTCCAACCAGGAATCTAACTGAAGACCTTTGGCTTTGCCGGATAACACCCAACCAGCCAAGTCACACCAGTCAGGGTGGAGATTATTACCTCTTTAATTGCAATGTTAAAAAATAAATATCATGTATTAATGTAATACCTTCTATTGTATAAGAAAACTTCAGAAGGTTCATATGTGATTAGGTAGAGTTTTTCCTGAATTAGGATATAAATAATCTATTTCTGATGTTACATAGTATTTTAATATGGATAATGTAGTATTATAAAAATCACAAAATTATGCAGTGATGCTGCTTTCCTTTGTTATATGCCTCTTATTCTTTTACAATGGAAGTTATGAGTTGTGTTGCATCAGCAGATTGTGTACCTATGAAACCAGCACTTGATCCTTTGCATGCACGAAGAAAAGTAGTTGGTTTCTATCTTTGATCACGTGAATACAGAAACAAGTTGTTTGGAAAAAATATTGAGTTTTAATGTGAAAGAAGAATGCCTTGCTTCGCTGCAGATATTCAGTAACTAATACCATGTTCAGTAAAACAATGTTGGAAAGAGTGGTGTCTATCTTCAATAAATTTGGCAGTTTGGCATAGTTTTCCCTTTTGTTCACCAAGGAAAGAAAACCAAAATGAGAGTGAGGAGAACAAATTACAAAGTGTGCTTCAGTTTGGCAAAGATGCTTGACATAGCCAGTTTGTTGCAGGCAGGGCCAGGCTGAGAGCTGAAAATTTAAAGTTTGTAAGGTACTTGGTATGCTTTTGGTATATTAAAAAAAAGTGCTTTTTCAAGAAAGCAGCCAAAAATGGTATTTCTGGTTTTAACATTATTCCTATTAGTTTGCTGGTCCTCCCAAGAGCTATAAAGTTGACAATAAATCAAATATATTTTAATTTGTCATGAGATAGCATATAGGAACAAAAATCTCCCAACTGGTTTTCTGCCAAAGTATTTATACTAGCCCTATCCACTTCCAAAGTTTATACTCACTATCAAAAATTAAGAAAAAAATTGAACTATCAAATAAATTCAAGTCTGGAAAACATTTACTGAATGCTGCTGAGCTAGGCATTACATTAGGTTTGGGGATGCAGGACAAATAAGTGTCATCAAAGAGACAAGTGACTCTAGACAAGGTGGAGGTACCTTACTTGCCAGGAGGCCTGAGCAGCATGGCCTTCTTCTAGTCAGCACACACAGAGGACGCGTGACATTGACATTGCACCAGATAATGAGCACAACCTGCCTCACTGCTTTCCCTTCAGATCTGATGCCTTCCATTAGGACTATCTTTTGAAGGTCTCTATTTGAACATCAGATCACAGGAAACCCTGCATCCTGACATCACGGAATAATGGGGTAAATTCTGAAAACATAATATATATGATACTTGGGTCACAACATGTAAAAAATATAGCTATTAGGGTTCAATTTGGCTTCTCAAAATCAAAGTTTGAGAACAATTGAATTTTATGTTACAGGTAATTGAGACTCATTGTAATATCAATATCTACATATCTATCTATACATATATATTCTATATATATGTATAGATAGATATGTCATCTATCTATCTATATCTATATATATATATATCAGGTGCTATTTAAAATATTGTACTATTTAAATCTTTTTTTATAACATAACCAGCAGAGAGTTTTTCTTGGTAGATAATAACAGTTCTACAAACACCTGTTGTTTCCCAAGCTAAATATTCTTCATCGGAAAAGCATTGAAGAGCTTATGAAACATCCTCTTCTTTTTCTTTTGTAAATTTGAAAGTCAGTAACGACTCAAACCATAGTGTGACGAGTGACTGTATTGTTTTGACATTATTAGTTGGTCACTCCAGTTCTTTCAACTTGCTCAAATTATTTGCTTTAACTTTTTAAAAATTGTGTTGCATAATGTTACATACTATTTATCTTAATGAGTATGCTAGATGCAATAGTAATAGACTTCCATGGAAGTCTATTACTACACAGATAAAATAATTATATTAGCTTTGAAATGAAAAGAGCCTGTTTCATAGTTTGTGACATGAAAATTTAACACAGCAATCCTAAATAGAACACACAAAAAGTACTTTACTGATACAACAATTCCAACATGAGAGATTCTGGGGGTTTTTTTTTTTGCTATCCTATTTTATATTACTTTAAAAATAAAAACATAATTTATTAATTGAGAAAATACCTTAATTAATGTTCACAGTATTTAGATACTTTAGTTCTAAAGCAGCAACACATTAAGAATTTTACTAAACTTTTCCTGTAATAAGAAAGCTTCATTTGTGATTTTTTTTCCTTAAAAAACTTTGATACCACAAAAGTTTTAAAAAGCTAACTTTCCTGCCTGAATAGTGTCTATAAATGGCAAATCATGGTTATACAAAAGATAGCACAAAAAGTATCAATTCAGATAAACTTTAGAGGAGTGTTTCCCAAGTTTTGAGCCCTGCCTAATGATCAACAAAGACTTCTTTATTTGTTATTTTTCACATATTCATAAGTACATTAATATCTTTCCAAATCACCTTTTATAGTTATAAATCAGGTTCATGCCCAACTCTGAGGCCTGGGATCTGGGTCTTTACGAAACAGGGACAGTGGAGGTGTCACTGCCTGGGAGAAGGTGGGTTTCCCCAGAATTGGTAGGCCGCTTTTCCGGGGACCGGGATTTTAACCTACTTTCATTTGTCTCAACTCTAATGACTAAACTGAAATACCCTTCTATCTCCAAGCCATTATAACATGGAAATTGTGCACTGTCTACACGTCACGAGCTGTGAAACAGCAGCCCAAACACATGCCCAACTGAGTATGTTTTAAATGTTGGAGCAAATGGCATGGTTAGTTTTGAATTTATTTGCACTCATTTTTACTACTAGAGATGTACTCACTAAAAAAGCTGTATTCCAACCATGTTCTATGTTCACATTTAACTGAGCTGGATTTTCACCACACTGCTGCATCTGGCTTTTTAATTTGCTTTGAACAGAAGTATTTTTTCATATCACTAACAATTCAGGCAGTCTTTATCAGGTGGTCAAGTCATCAGCCTGGCCTCTGTCTTCCCACTCTCTCCAAGGAAAATGGGGTCGTTTCCACCCCACCCATGGTATCTACAGGTTGGGATTGCAGATAAAGATGAGGCCAGGGGAGCCCAACCCACTGACTGGGTGAATCCTGCTCACTTTCTTCAGGATGGCTACTCATTTGCTATCAGCTCTGCTTTTAAACTTTTTAAAGCTACACACAAACTTTGGGAAAGTTACATCACCTTAAACAAAGACACAGTTGCTTAAATTATTATTATGCAACACTATGTTCAACACTGCAACTATCTTCCCAATTTGGCTATAATTTTGTAGGCAGCTCTGGAGAAGTAAAAATCTAGAATAAATATGTCAATGGCATTTTTATGAATGGGAAAAGGTTTCCCAACCCCTGGAAAAACACTCAGGTTTTATCCCGCAAACAAAGGGGGACTCTAAAGCTGTCTCCCATGTCTTTGGGATCCCAAATTTTAAATGTAGGTGATCAGTCTGGTATGATCCATATGCTCGACTCCAGGGGACAGCAATTCAGTAATAAATACGTGAAAGTGAAAATCTGGATGTGCTTTTTTAAAACTCGCAGGCATCAATACACATCTGGTAATTAATTTGTTAATTAGCCGGCTTCCTTAAAAAACTAAAAAGGCGTCGGTAACCACTGGGCTGTGTCTGCCCCAGGTGATCTGCACGGGTCTGGTAGAGAGACTGCCCCCGCCCCCAACCCCCTGCTCTGCTACCACCGCTGCTTCGCTAGGTGTTCCAGCAGAAGAAAAGCCAAACATATTCCGCACACAATTCTATTAAAAATGCAAAACCAGACAAAAAAAAAAAAGAGGACCAGTTTTTTTAAAAAATAAAAGGATTATTGGTGACTACTTGTCCGAAGAAAAAAATCGAGAGTGAGGACAAATGACCCGCACAAGTGCCTCTGGCCATTTTTCTCCCCGGGCTGCCGCAGAGCTGACACAGGAGGGTCGGGGTGGGGAGGAGGGAAGGATGGAGGGAAGAAAGGGGATTTTAAGTATCATCTCCCTGTGTTCAACGGTGTGGCTTCCCCGGTGCTCTGGAAGCAGTGGTAGCCATTTTCATTTTGTTTTTTTTGTTTTCGTTTTTTAAGAGCATAAAAGGAAAATAAAACAGAAAAGGTTTATTTCCCTGCCTACACCGCCTACTCGGCTCCTCCCTCCAAACAAAAAAGTATGTAAAAAACAAACAAACAAACAAACAACCACCCAACCCTCAGGTACAGAACCGAGTCCGCACGCGTCCAGCGAGGCTTCTGCAGTCAGCTGGACTCCGACTCGGGAGCTGCGCGGACGAGACGCGAGCTCGAAAAATCAATCCCTGCTCGCGCCCCCGCGCCGCCGCCGCCGCAGCCGCAGCCGCAGTGGCCGCAAAATTAGCGGCTCCGAGGACATTTTTGCCGCAGGGCACGTCCGCGGTAACCACCGAGCGCTCGGGTGAATAATGGAAGTACAGTGTAGAGACAATCAAGTTGATTTATCACGCAAAATAAGTCACTTCTTCAGTCCAGCTCTTGGTCCTGTCACTTTAAATCATACACACGCCTATACACAGATCCATAGGCGCCCACACACGCATGGTGCACTTGTGTGTGTGTGTGTGTGTGTGTGTGAGAGAGAGAGAGAGGGGGGAATGATTCCAGATTGCTTCACGTATATGAAGGGGGGGGATAGCGAAAGAACCTTCATCCCAACCCCCTACCCCCACCTTTTGCAGCGCGGACGAGTGGCTTGTAATGCAGCTTGGAGCAAAATAAAGTCTGAACAAAACTAGACTGTGAGACTAGCACGTCCCAGAGTGAAAGTGAGTGACGTTAACACAGACTCTGTAAAGACTCGGATCACTTGCAAGCAAACTAACCCCCCTTTTTTTATAAAAGAAAAGTAAATCATTAATTGGGTTCAGATCTAAAATGCTGCTTTTAAAATGCATGACACATGTCGAAGACTCTGCGACTGTAATTTCTTGGGTAAACATCTGGTGAAGACATTCCAGGAACACATCTGAAAGGAAGAAAGGCGTAAGAGAGCCCCTTCTTTATATATCTTGGGTCAAAAAAGGGTTGTTGAAACTGGTTTTTTTTTTTTTTGGTTTTTTTTTTTTTTAGTGTGCTCTTAGTCTGAATGCCCTTATGACCACTAAGGGTCAGTTGGGTTTGGAAGAAAAGGGCTGAACTGGGAGCGAGGAGTGCTGGGCTCCAGCCAGGGCATGGTCTGTGAGCTCGGGCAGGTCTCTTTTCTTATCTGTAAAATCACAGAGAGTAAGTGATATGCTTTCTAAGTTTTTTTTTTTTTTTCCTCACTGACACTCCATGATTCTATCTGGGAGGGAATGATGATGGTGGCAGTGGTGGGGTAATGTAGAGAGAAAAAAGTTCACATTCTTCAGGTGGCATCTGTTTAAATTGGTGATGATGAAAGTGATGAATCCTTAACAGTAAAGATCGTGTCTATATTAAGAGCTGCTATTGTCCCAGGTCTGAAGTATATGTAGCATGTAACGAATGCTCTTTGAGAATGATGATGTAACCTTATAATTGTATTTTTGGGAAGGGGGAAAAGACTTTTCAAAAATCAGCCAAAAGGATTTTGGAATTGAAACAATTTTCAATATTCCTATTTTTTTATAATCTGTATATGAAAATGCATTAAATCACTTGGGTAATTCAGAGAAAATAACTTTTTGGTGGATAAGTGTCCTTTTGTGCCAGATTAGCTGTCTAGATTGACCAAATTAATGGCTTAATTACTCCCTGTCTACTTTTTCAGAAAACAGCTCCAAGCAGCATCTTAAGTAGGGACCACTGTTTAATACCACTCTTATCTGTGCAGTGAATGGTTAAGAGTGTGGGTACTAAAACCAAACCACTGACTAGTTTTGACATGTACTAACTGAGTAATCATAGGCAAATTACTTAGTTTAGTAGTGCCTCAGTTCCTCACATTTATAAAATGAAGATTATAATAGTAACTAATTCACAGGGCTGTTCAGGATTAAATGAGTTATCATATTAAAGTGCTTGGAACAGAATATGGCACATGTAACAAACAGTTCAATGAAATGTTAGAGGTTATCATCTGTCCAATGTAAACACAGAGAAAGCAAGGTCAGATATAATAGAGGGATCTTTGAACTGCTTCTGGGTTTCAATAATACCTCTAAGAACTGGATGTCAGCTTAAAGCAAGAAGCTCAGCAGTCTTTATTATCAAGAATAGGCCAAAACATCCCCTGCAAAAACTCCCTTCACATACATGCAATAGTTACAAAGTTGGAGAATGGTCCACTTGACCAGATCAATGAAGATATTTAGAACTGACTCCATGTGCTGAGTGCATACTTATTAATGTGTATCTTGACTATCCAGGTGGGAGGAAGCCAAGGTTTTCTTTGGAGAAAAGTTTCCAAGGCATCTGTTCTTACTTGTTCCTCTTGTGATACTTTGTTTCCTACACAACTTGATACCTCAGGCCTAGTCTCTGTCATTGAATTATGAAGTCAAAACAATCCCAAATCTCTGGCGTGCTCCCTTTGTGTTATTATTAGCTTAAAGGGAAAAGCGACATCCTGAATTTCTCTCTTCTCTTAATGACCCACAGAGTACAGACTTGAACAAGGCTTTAGGAAGGGTCATAGGCATGGAATGCTTAAGGGAGCAATTCTTCTTGTGTTTGCAATTTGGGATTGGAGGCAGGTTACAGTTAAGCTTTATAGAGGAAGTGGAGATTAGGTGTTTCCAGAACAAGGTAGGCACTGGCAGGCTTACGTCACTGCTTGTGGGAAAGTAATGTCCCACTTCTTTCCTCCTGTGGCACCTGAAGCCCCAGGTGCGCCAACTGTTCACTCAGAGGCTGCATCATAGATGGCTGGCAGGCCTGGGATGTCAGGGTTGCAACAAGTTTGGAGGGCGTCAGGCACTGGTTAAGATTTCTGTTAGCCAGAAAGCACTTTTTTTTTTTTCCCCTGAAAGCATGGGGGGAAAAGTTCAGTCGTTCCAAGCGCCAGTGTGAGCACAGACTCCATTTCGTCAGTCTGATTAACACAATATCCGAAATAAATCAATAGAAGAGGGTGCACTGCTTTTCTGCTCCACCTGCTTGCCCCCCTTCCCCTCCATCATTATCACATGTGCATAGACCTTCTTCTAAAGAAGTGCAGTAAGGTGACCGAAAAGATACCCAAGCAAGGTACTTGTGCTTTAAAATATTTCAGGACACCAAAGCGGGAAAACAGGCGAGTTTCATTCCTGTCCGCCCACAGCAACTTGGCAATGAGAAGCCGCAGGCGCCTGGCCTGCCAGAGCATCCTGTGAACTCTGAGGCTGGGTGAAGACTTCACTGATTACGATCCCCAGTGGTTCGCGGACTTCCCCAGTTTCGGAGGTACTGGGGGAATTTGAGAGTAAATAAATTCAGTTCGGCTCTCCAATCACCACTGACCCAGACGACGGGGATCCGGTACTCCAGGTCCTGAGAAGGGTTAGGGTCAAGGGCACATGGAGGGACTAGCGGAGGCACTGGAGCTGCCCGGCAAGGTCATGACCTTGTGGGTGCTAGAGGAAGCTCGGGTGTGCAGTGGCCGGGCGCTGCCCTCTGGCCTCGGAGCTGACCCCCGGACCCGCGCCTTGCTTTTGGCTGCCAGCCTGGCACATCCCTAGGGGAAGGAGGGGGCAACGCGGCAGATTGGACCCTTACTTTCACAGTGGAAGCTGAAACCTGCGGAGCTCCCTGGCCAAGTATCCTGGAAGGAAGATCAGATGCCCAGCATAACTGAACTTTAGAAAGGGCTCTCTGCACTGCCGCCCCCCTTCTTGGTGGCGACCTGTGAAACTTTTGTCCCCTCCCAGCAGTGTTTTCTTGCCCCGGGAACTTGGCCCAGCAGGCCTACTTCTCCATAGAAATTTGTCTTTCCGCTAACTCTGCAGCATCTTCTCTCAGAGGGGCTTCTAGGGTGTCTTGTAATGAAGGGCACACGTTCAATGCCCCCCCCTTTTTTTTTCCTTTTTGGAGGGAGTATTGTGTGAATTTAAAAACTCCTAGGCATTAAAACAAAAACAAAAAAAACCCAAACCAAATAACAAAATCCAAAACAAAACACCTTGCCTTCAGGTGAGTGGATGGAGGACTCAGTCCTTTGCTCAGATCATCAAGTTCTTTCAGGAAAATAGAGACCCTTGCACACCTTTCTGGAGGGTGACTTAATAAGGCTGCAGTATATTACCATGTTTAAAACATTTTGCAGAGGCAAGATTTCCTAAAAGCGACTTGCCAGAGATGCATGGAAAAACACATCTGCTTACAAAGAGGCTGCTGAAAAGGAACGGGGAAGGCAGGACCCAGCCCCAGTTAAAAACCACAGTTTCCAACTTTTGAGCCACAGCACTGATACTATGGGGCTGTGAGGCTTGTGGGACAGAATGGCCATCCCTGGAGCTGACAGGTTGCAGATTTCCAAGGCTGCTTTTCACTGATTGCTGGAAGTCCCAGACTTCATTTGGGGTAGTCCTTCCCAGTGACGCCCAGAGTTAAGGTCCCCTTCCTTAGTATTTTGTGGGCATGTGTTTGGATCCTGAATCAAGCCTTGCTCCTCACTTACATTGAGCGGATAAGTCCTTGTTCCTTAGCTGGCAGTGTATGAGCCCAGAGTGGGAATGTGGGTGCCACTGCAGGCAAAGGTGTATGTTTGTTGTCTCACCTCCTCCTCCTCCCTGCTCAGTACCTCCCAGCCACTAAGGAATGGGCTCTAACACAGCCCTCAACTATAGAAATTTTCCATGGAGTTTCTTTCTGAGAGAAGGGACCATCTTAATTATTTTGTGCTCAGGGTTTTTGTATTTTATATAATGAACTTAAGTGGAAAGTTGCAGGGTTTGTTACTTTTGTGATTTTTCAGCTAAGGGGATTTTAAAGGTCTTAGACCCCATAACTCTAAGGGGGAGGGAGAGCACTAATATTTTGCCCAGAATACATAGCCTTCTAGCTTCATGAGCATAAGGACTGCTTACAGTATACCTTAAAACATTCAAACTACAGTGCAGGAAGTTTCAATTACACCCCCTTCAAAAACCTAAAGCACCTCATGTATTTCTGCTCCTTTTGTGGTTGCCAGGCTATTTTGTAACACGTGCTCTAATTATCTGAATGGTGATTCTAACTTTTATAAAGTTTCTGGCTCTTTACCCTGAAAAGTTGCACTTGCCCTACGGGCAACACAAGCTTTTCTTTGAGCCCTTGATATGCTTTTGACCCCTGTTGGGAGTGTTTTAAAGGCTATATTTTAGTCCTATGGGATAAAATGTTATTTTCATCCTTTATAGCAAAGCGTTGGGTGCAAAGTGGGCAAGTTTGTAGGAAGCGCACTCTCTTAGCTTTGCTAGCATCAGGAGGATAGTTTCAGTATGCCAGTCTTTGTCTGCCAGAGTGCCAGGGGAAGGTACTCAGGACACACTGCAGCCCCGTCAGCTGTTTCTCTTGCCCACCACATCCTGGCTCCATCACTGGGTGATGCTGGGCAATGGGGATGCTGTACACACCTGACGATTTTAAAGCAGCAAAGTGAGCTCTGGCCTCAGAGGTCGGGAGGACCTCTGTTCAGGGTATGACATAAGCAAGTGCTAGACTTCCACACAAAAAGAAATTTACTTAAGCCTATCCTTTTTTAGGCAGATGTACAGACCAGGCCCACCAATATTCCCGATAAAGTTAATGGTACCAGAAACCTGCAGTGCATTAGGACCCGACTTGGGATCCTTGAAGACCGGACTGCTACAGCTAATCTCGCCTCTCTCTCTTTTTGTTTCCATTGCTCTGTTTTTCCTTTAGTCTCTTTCCCTCTCAGTGTTCCCTACCTCCTGAAGTATGAGTTAATAAAAACACCACCCTATTTTAAGAATAAAACAAAGCTGACACTAATTTGAGAGTTAACACTGCAACTGAACTTTTGGAGTCTGCCGATCTGTTCAGCACACCATTGCACCCAGTAGTGCCAGCATTACTGTTTCTAAAATTCACTGAAATAATTCTTTCAAGGCCTTTGAGAAAGTATAAGAAATGCTAATTGGGAAAAAATACACTCAATTCTCATGTATTTTACTTTCTCATATCAAGAAAAAGAACTCCAAGCAAAATAATAAACTTTATGTAGTTTATTTTTTCAACTACTCTATTTTCAGTGTACATTTTTCTTCCTTAACTAAACTACATAGCCTCATTCGATTCCACTTGCACCTCTCCCCACGGGTCCTCATTAACCGATTTTGCCGTCCTCACCGAGTGCGACCGCAGGCAGTGGAAACCTTCCAAGAAGAGCCTCCACATATTTCCTCCCGGCTAAAGCGCCCAATTTCAGAAGAATCGAGTGACTGACTTCTTTAGAAACAACAAATGGAGGAAATAATTTATCTAGTTCATTCAAAAGCCTCTACAGGAAGGGCTTTAGAGGATGAGGATGTTCATAATGCTGTAATAATGAGAATCCCCTTAGTCTGTGTCTCTCGGCTCTGCCAGGGCCAGGGTCCGCTCTCTGTCCGTGGAAGAGCTGTCCTGGCTAGGGACGGCCAGGGCCGCTCCCCATCCACCGTCTGACGGCACAGCCAGAGCGCACCGAGACCACAACTACACCCCACGCCGCCGGGGCCACTATCGGATCCGCAACGGTGGGACTCTCGCCACGGCGTCGCCTTCCCCAGCGCAGGCCCTTGCTCCCACTTTCCCTTCTTCCTCACCCTTGACGTGGGGGGTAGAGTGTAAAATGGGAACGTTTCCTTCATCCGATGCCCACTTCCTCAGCCGGATCCTACTCGGCTGGATTGGAATTAAAATTCGGGAATTCAATTTTGATGAGAAATCTAGGGTTCCTAGGGGGGCTACGGAGGGAAGGAAGACCCTGCAGGGACCGCGCGGGCCTCGGAAGCTACCCCCCCGCTCCGTCCCCTCCCCCCCCCGTCCCGTCCCTCTGCAGTCCAGGTGAGGAGGCAGAAAGCCGAGGGTTCCCGGGGGGCAAGGGGCTCCCCCCTTTCCCGCGGTGTCCGAGCCCCCGTTGCGAGTGCTTGCTGGGGGCCTCAGGGCTCGCGGGTCACCGGATCCCCCTCCCCAGGGCGTGCGCTCCCGGCCCTGCAGGTGCACCCATGCCCCCTTTCAGGCCCCAACGGGGAAGCCGCCTTTCGGCCCCAGTTGTGTCCTTGGAGGCTTGGAACGCGGTCTTTCCGAAGTTTCTAAAGCTGCCCCTCCCAGCACTCGCGGGATCACACTTCCCCGATATCCCCCCACCCTTGCTACAGCTGTGGGCAAAAGGGGGTGCAGACAGGGAGCGGAGGGGACAGGCTCAAGGCTCCCAGATCCCAGTGCCGCCGAGAAGTGCCAAACTCGGCCTAAAGCGCTTGGAGATCCGGCTCTGGAGCCCGACCTCTGGGGAGGTGCAGGCTGGCGGCTCCCGCACTGCTCCAGCCCCGGGCGGGGAGGGGAGGCTAGGGAAGGTGGGGTAAGGAGAGGAAGAGAGACAGGGCGGGGGTGGGTGGGGGGATCTCAAATCCACATTACCACGGTTCCAGTGCTGACCTCAATCAAAGGGACTTTTTAAACTGGCCTTTGGGGTAGGCTGCTGGTGACCTCTGTCCTCGCCCTCCAAGTTCCCCTGAGCGAATTATGGCGCCACCTACAGGCAAGTTCCAGATAGCAGGAGGGAGAAAGGGAGACACGCCCGGGGCCCGGTGTGGTCGAAGCGAGGCTTGGGGGAGGGGGCGAGGAGTGGGGGTGTTGTGGTTATGTCCTGAACCATCTTTCAGCTTCTGAATCTGAGATATGAACTCCACAGTTATGGGTCTGTTGGCAGCAGCAAGAGTCCTGAAGGCGCTGAGAAAGATCTTTTTGGGAGTGCGGAACTGGGGAAGTAAATACAGGAACTAGGGGTTTTGAGTAACAAAAAAGCGTCCCCTCAGGCTAGTCCCCTGGAGTAACTGTGTGGCCTAGGACAAGGTCCTTAACCTTTCTGAGTCTAGGTTTCCTCGTCCTTTAAAAGGGGAATATCTGACCAGATCCCTGTGATAATTTAATGAGATAGTGTAGGTGAGAAACTATAGGTGACTTCAAGGAGCTTTAATGTGCTTCTAATATGAAAAACCGCCTTTTATACTAACAAGAAATCTAACTTGCAAGACTTCATCTAGCTTCTTTCTGTTCCTTGAAGATTAGGACCTTACAAGAGGCTTGAGTGTCTGATTAGGATAGAAGGATGGGTTAGTGGAAGTTTTGATAACTACTCTCTTTGGCTAACCCCCTTCTCACAGACAAATAACAAGATTATATTTATGTATCACTTACTATTACTATTTACTATTATCTCATTTAATTTTTTTTAACCACTATATATGGTATACATTATCCCCATTTTAAAGACAAGGAAATAAGGACATGGGACTACAAGCCATAGTTGGTACATTTTTCTCCACTTAAAACTTTTCTACTTCAAAACAATTCTCTGTCTATCTTAATGTAAATTTATTAAGTACCTACCATGTGCTTGGTAACTATATTCAGGATTTTATATATGAGGTCTCATGTAATTCTCACAACACCTCCGTGAAGTAGGACTTCAAGTTCTCCCTTTTCAGAAGAGGAAGTATTGGTTCAGGGAGCTCAGAGGAGTCACTTCAAGTCTTACAGAGAAGTGGTGCAGCCAGGTCATGGGGAGCCCAGGTCTTCTGACTACATCCAAGTGCCTTCTGTTGCACACCACTTTGGCTGGCCCCACTGGCTTTGGGGCACTTTTAAAAGTTATTGAGAAAGGTCAGGCAGCAGAAGTGAACTCACTGCTGTGTTGAAGTTGTGGTAGAGTATGGTGTTTATAGCCTTCAGTGATGGTAGAGTATTACAAAGTTTCCTAAGGAAATATTTGTGGTAGAAGAAGGGAGCAGAGATGCAATGGGAGAAGCCAAAAAGTGAGCTGATTTATACTTTTATCAATGAATAACATTGATTTAAGGACCAAACTAACCAAATCTCACTACAACAAATACAATTACACGGAAAGGTTTGGTGTAAAGTGGCTATTGCCAAATCTGGCACCTGACCTATGGAGAGAATGCTTTGTTAATTTGGTTATAAAATTTATTTACAATAAATATTATTGTACTTTAAACATTTTTTTGCTTGTCCGTGTCCATGGAATTAGTAACATTTTGTGGTAGATTGGATTTCTCAGGGAGTTTTTGCATTGTACAATTGTTCACTGGTTTCTTGTTTTCTTTCCTACTTAAGCACCAAATCAAACCATAATTTCTGCTCAGAATACTTCTTGGTCACACCTGAGAATAACTAAACATATCAAAGTCCTGGAAGTTAAGCACTAGAAGGCTTTGGGTTAAGGCACTGGATGTAAATATATGTATCCTACTTTCTTCTTTCCCCTATGGGTCCTGCCATGATGCTTCTGCTTGTGAATACATTATCGGGAACTCAGACTTTAATAGCATTTCACCTCTAGCTTCTATAGACTGAGAGTGTTTGTAATAATACAATAGATTCTCATTTTGCAACAGATGCTAAAGGAGATTCATTAATAGGAAACCTCCACCATGTAACTAACACCATAAGATTATCAAATTTAAAGTCAGATGGCTTTGGATTGTCAACTTTTGGAAACTCAATGATAATTAGATAAAAGGGCTTTGTGAGGAAAAACCAGTTGAAGCCAACATTTGTGGAATGTATTTTATGTGTTCCATCATATTGTAGGTGCTAGTAGAGTTTTTCTCCTGGAGTTTACATTCTAAACTTTAGGATAGAAACTTATCTCTCCATTCCCCAGAAACTTATCTCTCCATTCTCCAGGGTCCATGCCTTAGTTATGTCATAAAAGAGTGATGGGGTTAATGATCAAAGAACACAGGCCCTAGCTCAAATGTTGAGCTGAGATATTTCCCTTCTAAAATTGTCTTCATCCTAGGATTTTGATATTACTCATTCCATCACCTTCAGATATAGTTATGTAAGTGAGTGGATTGAGAAAAGATTTCAGGAAAGGTGGATACTTTGACAAGAGACAGCATTGTGCTTTGGAAAGATCTGTTTTATTCTCTGATATCTAATTGTGCTTCTATGTCATGAAAACATATATCAGTCAGTATAAGTGTGTGTATGGGTGTATATTTGGAGATCTTAGGTACTTCTTTTTGGTAATTTTCCCCAACAGTCAACAATCCAGGTCTCTTTTTTAGTAATGAAAAGGAAGAGCTGGGATCCAACCTATAGTCCACTTTGAAACTCATTAATGTTCTTCCTATCACTTGTGTTGAATCAGAGCACTGACCTTTCCAAGTCCCAATCTCAAAAGTTCTGAATGTGGGTTTATCCCCAAGACAATTCCAGGGCAGAGGTTGTTCTGTGTAGGCTCAGTTCTGGGAAAGCAGACACTTAATACAATGAAATGGCTTTTTAGAGCAGACAGGTGTGGAGTTTGTTTGAGAAGCTAACTGCTGCTCCTGATCACGGGAAACTGAATTTTTGACCAAAGCCTTTGTGAGTCTATCAAACTGATGTTACATGTTATCGGCATTAGATGGACCAATCTGATGGGATAGTGGCTCAGAAAGTCAATTGCTAGAATCTTGTAGAAAAAACTCAGTATTTTAAAATAATTTAGGTGCTACAAGAGATGGCAGTCTAGCATGGACTTCAGAATATCTATAGGCAACCGAACTGACGGAATCTAAACAACTGGGGCAGAGCCACATGTTTATTCAAAGAACCTTTAAAAATGTCCCAAAGAAGTGTAGAGGTTATGGGGACAATTTTGAAATAGCTGAAAGAGAAGAAGGGATTACATTATTTCTGAATTTAACTAGGGCTAAGGACATTGTCTAATTTAACCCTGTGTAATCCCCACGATACCACGATACTGAGGTGTAATTATCCTATTTCACTGAGGGGAACAGAGACTCAATTTGTAAGAGGCATGAGATGAGATTTAGATCTAGTCCAGCCTGGCCCCAAAGCACCCATTTCCCTACTTCATCCCCTTAGCTCCACACCCCCCCAGCCTTCTCAGTCTCTCCTTGATTTACTTGTTCATTTTTCTCTTTCAACGTGAATGGTTGGCTTTTTTCCTTGGCACCATCATCTCAAACTTTCTTCAGCATTTGTTTCCTGTGCTGAGCCTACGTGGAACAACCTTCGGCCTGCAATTCACTTGCAGCCGTGGATGGCCAGGTATAGAAGGTCTGAGACTCCAACAGCCAGCTTTAATTTTACCCACCCTTCGTTTGTACACCCAGCCTGGCTGCATCCATTTGAATCTTTACTCAAACCAACTTATCTCTTTTTAAAATTTTACTCTCTCTAATCAGCTTGCAAATTCCCATTTTTACTCTCAGTAACTGTCAGGTGTCTGGTTCAGTGCTTCACACATTATTGTCTATCTGGAAATATTTGCCTGCTGGCTGCTTGCTTGCCTGTAAGACATCCAACCTGCTCTCACTTTCTCTCCCACCCCTACCCTCCCCCACCAAAGGCTGGTGCAGAAGCATGACAAAAATAGCCAGGTTCATCCAGGTTCTGTTCCCTCAGTCCCCTTGCTATCACCCCCAGGCCCTAAATATAAAAGATGAAACGCAGTGCCTCCAAACAAAGGCTCAACCCCAATAAAGTCACACTTCCCCGTGGTCAGCTTTTTTCCCCTCCACAATTCTTGGAGCCGAACTTTGGTTCTTCACCTGGCACGCGGTGGAAAAGAGGAAACACGTGTGTGCTGTGGGTATGTATTTGAGGTGGGGGAGACAGGCAATGTTTCCTAGGGCAGAGTGG